AGCGCATTGGCCTGGTGGAGGAACTACCTGCTTAGGAGACAGCAGTGTCTCCTATCCTGCCCCTGGTGCCTGCCGTGTGGGCTGAGATGAGATTTACTTGTCGGGAGAGTGGGGTGTCATTGCTCTGACTGGTCGCTCGCCCCAGCTCCATTCCATATACCCTGGTGCTGTTAGTATGGGCAACTACCACAGACGTGGCGCCACTCTCTGGGACATAGAGCCTCTCTGGCCCCACCCCCAGACTGACCAGGAGTGGTCAGCAAGGAGGCCGAGGGCGTCTGTTGGCACTTCCCTGGGCTTCTCCCTGGGCCATAGCCAAGGACAGGGACAGGACGCAGACGAGGAAGGCTCACAGCAGCAGGAACGCAGCCAGCGAGTGGGGGAAGGGCTGCAGGCAGGGAGAGGACCCGAGGCCTGTGTGGCTGGTGGCCTTCCCACGGCATCCTGCTCCAGGTGTACTCAGGGTGGTGGAATCCCACAGGCTGGGCCCCAGGCCTGCCTCTGCTGCAGGGAGCTGTGAGCCGTGGGCTGTCTCACGGTTGTGTCTCCTCTGCAGAGCTCTCGTCCTCGACTCTATAGAGTGTCAGTCTTTCTTGCCTTGTGGTCTCAGTTAATCTGGAAACCTCCCTGTGAAATTGGTGCTGTGATTATTTCCATTTTATAGGTGAGAACACAGGCGCAGAGTGGTGACCTCACTTATTCAAATTCCCAGCGCTAGGATGTCACCAAGCTGGGCTTTGAGCTTGGACAGCCCCACTGCAGCCTTCTCACATGTGCCCGGCACCCCACCCTGCCTCATGATGTGTGTTTTATAATATAAACTGAGCAGTGATCACGTGCCGGGCATCTGAGGTAGTTTCTGTGGTGCTGACAGAGTCGGCCCCTCTGAGAAAAGCCTTCTCCCAGCCAGCTCTCCCTCAACCCTGAGACAGGCCAACTGCAGGCGGCATCCCATTTCCAGACTTGTGCAGGTGGAGCTGCAGGCCGGCCAGTGCATCTCCCTGGTGAAGCTGAGCCTCATGTCTGCTTCATGCCCAGCTCTGAGAGGAAATACAGGGGGGTTTAACCCAGAGCGCCTAGAAGTTCAGAGCCCATAAAACACTAAAGCATGGAGCCAATGTACAATGTGCCAGGGGCCGGAGCAGCCGTGGAGCAGGGGAAGTCACTTTGTTAGGGCCACCCCGAAGCTTATGCAGGGGCGGGGGTCATCTCAGCCAGGCCAGACCCCTAAGCCTAATGAACAGGAAGCTGAGTGGTGTCACTGGAGCTGACGGAGTGGAGTGCTGCAAGGCCAGGAGCCTGCTAGCCTCCTGAGAGCCCCCCGCAGGCCCTGGGCTCCTCCCAGCAGCATCCATAGGTGGTGGAAGTTGCATCAGACAGAGACAGGGCCCTGGAGGATTTGGCTGCTGTTTGGCTTGCCCCAGTTCCTCTTTCAGAGGCTAATTGGATCCCTTAGCTCTGGGCTGTCTGAGGACTGGGGCCTCCCCAGGAGGAGTTCCCCCATCCTCAGCTGGCCTCTGACTAGCGGAACTGAGCTCTTAAGTAGGTGACTGTCCCGAGTCACCTGGAGAGCTCGGCAGCTCAGGAAACAGTGGGTGGCGTAATGGGGGGGGGCGCAGCACATCTGTGTATATGGCTTGGGGGGCACTGGAGAAGCTCCTGCCCCAAGTAGTAGGCCACCGCTGTGGGTGGCCGGAGAGCTACACGCTGAGGAAGTCTGACAGCCAGGAGTCGGAAGGCCACGAAACTTAGGTGACAGCTCAGGATCCGTCGAGAACCACTGTGGCCACAGAGGTAGTCTGTGTCAGCATGTGGCCGTGGCCACTCAGGCTCGGTGGCACAGCTAACACTCCAGGTGCTGCAGCTCTAGGTGTCACTAACGTTGCTGACAGGACTTCCTGTGCCACATGGTTAATGATGGCGAGGACTGCAATTTCGAGTGCTCAGCAAGCTCTAGGCAGAGCTTAGATACTGCCATTGTGTCCAAATATATACAACACCGAGCTTACCAATTTAACCACAGTTTGCCATTTTAAAAGTGTGTAAGTCAGTGGCACTGATCACATTCATAGTGTTACACAACTAACAACTCTAGTGACTTCTGTATAGGTGCTGCTGAAGTAAGCAAAACACTAGCTAATTCTGGAACTTTTCTATCACCGTGAAAAGAGACCTTCAGCCCAAGGTCAGTCCCTTCCGATTCCCCTCTCGCCCCAGCCCCCCAGACAGGTACCCATCCATCTGCTTTATGCGTGTGCCTGTTGGATAAATGGGACAGGACAGTATTCATATGACTGAGTCCTTCCATTCAGCAGGATGTTTTCAAAGTACTAGCACTTTGTTCCTTTCTGTGGTTGAAAATACTCTGTGTGAGTGTACCACCTTTGTTCACACATCCATCCCTGGACATCTGAGCTGATTTTAACAACTGAGTTCTGCCCGGGTCTTTGTGTATATGATCTCTGGTAGTGTGATGTAGACCCGTGAAAGTAGGGACTGTTACGATTGACAGAGGAGCCAGTTGGCAGAGGGACTCAGTGATTTGCTGAGGGTCATGCACCAGGAGGGTGACAGATGCAGGACTCAGAACTGCGGCTTTTGTGGCCCCATGTGTACACTGTGCTGGTGCTCCCCGCATTTGGCACCGCACAGCCTAGAAGCTGTGCTACAAGTGATACCAAACTGGTTGTGGTTCCTGGAGTCACGCTGGGGTCCCCTCCACAGATCATTTAAGTCAGAATCTCTAGAACAGTTGCTGTTCATCAGGGACAGTTTTGTGTCTTTCCTTAGGAGGGGACATCTAGCCATTCTGCAGAGTTTTGGTTGTCATGGCTGAGGGCAGCAGTGCCACCAGCATCTAGTGCCAGCATACGGAGTGGCCCAAAGAATGGCCGTGGAGCTAGTGCCCCAGTTGCTATGGAGGCAAGGCCTTGGGGCCAGTGGCTTTCTCCCTGTCTGTAGAGCTGGAGCTGGGAGACCTGGGGCCGAGAGGTGCAGGAAGGCCTGTGGCTCCGCATGTCCCACTCAATTCAGCTGCCTCTGGCGGTGCTTTGAGCTTCAGGACGAGACAAGCTTGTTGGAAACTGCCCTGGACTCCCATTCTTTCTTTAAATTTTTACTTTAAAATTTGTTTGCCTGCAGATAAGAAGGTCAGAAATGCAGCCCTGGCCCCAGTCATCAGTCAGTTGCTTGGGCCTGTGAGGCTTTGCAGGGAGAAGCGAAGAGGCTGCTTCAGGAAACAGACAGGCTGTGTTCACACAGTGCGCAGTGATTCACTGGCTGCCCTGCGGGCCAGCTCCCGCCCAGCGCCAAGCTCTCGGCTGTCCAGTCCGGCTGGGCTGGCTTCAGGCCCTTGGCTGGCTCACTCAGGAGCGATGACTCAGGTTTTCCACCTGTAAAATGGGAGGGGTGGCTCTTGCCACCTCCCTGCCCATCCCCAGCGCCAGAAGCCCCCGCAGCCCCCAACGCCATCAAAGGCAAATCTTAAAAGCCAGGCCCCGGGGCTGCTGTTTTCACTGCTAGTAAATCTCCATTTGTGGCAGCTCAATTAGGCAGTCATCACAAAAGTCCAATATTGAAAGAAAGGATTAATAACCCAGCCCATGTGGGAGAAATTAGCAGCTTCTGCGGAGAGGCCTTTTAAGACGTCCTCCAGCCGGCAGCCCCTTGGAAGAGCGCTGGTGGGCTGGGCCCTGGGAAGGAGAGCTAAAGAGGCTGGTTGTGCATCTGAGGCCAAGTGTCAGGAGGCGCTGTCGGATGGGGCCGACCCCAGAGACACTGCTGACTGTACCCTGGTCTGCCTGCCTGCCTGCTCCCGCTCCGTCCTGGGCCCCGCAGCCCCAGGCAGAGGGAAGGGGATGCTTACTCCTGCAGGGTGTGGTCTGAGTTTGGGCCTCAGCTCCAGTGGCTGCTGCCTCAGCTCCCGGATGGGGCGGTCCACAGGCCCCTGGCACGGAAGGGCTGGCCCCGTGCCGGGTTCTCCGAGATCCAGGAGGGGAGCCAAGAGCCAGGGCTGACTCATGGAGGAGGGCCAGCCTCTGGGCCCACGGGGAGGCAAGGCCTAGAGGGGCGGGGGTTGGAACTGGGACCTGGGCGGAGGCTGGGACCTGTTTGTCACCTCCCCCGCCCCCAGGAGGCAACCTGCCTTCCCAGGAGGCCAGTGGTGGCTCATGGGAGGGGGCTCTGAGACTGGATTCAGGGCCAGCCAGCCTGCTCCTAAGGGCTCAGTCTGAGCCTCACCTTATGTCCCCTGGCCAAGTGGCGTGACTTGACTTTGCTTAGGTTTCGTCCTGGTCAAATGTGAATAGTGGTAACATTTCCTTCCTCAGAGGATTACTGGGAGCATTCATGCATGCTATTTTGCTTCGGTGATTAGTGTGGGCCTGCTCTGCTTCTCCTCCTTTCATTCATCATTGATGTAAACAAATAGGCGTGTTGTGAGTCATCCCCATCCCTCTGTGCACCATCTGTCTGTCCATCCATCCATCTGCCCTTCCGTCTGTCCGTCCACCCACCTCCTCCTCTGCCCGCTAAGTGTGGCCCTGGTAGTTGCTCTGGCCTCCTTGTGGAGCAGGATGAAGGCAGAGCGCCTCCCTCCTGGAGTGATGTTCTAGTGAGAGGAGCAGCACAAGATGAAGCAAGGAAAGCTCCCCACAGAGTATCCGAAGGGGATGTTTCTTTGTACAGGTGCAGCTGCTCGGAGCAGGACGTGCTCTGAGTGCGTGAGAGACACTGAGGAGGATTTAAAAGGGTTGCAGGATCAGGGCAGGTGCCCCTGGATTCATGAAAACAAAGCACGTGGTTAGAAGTCAAGTGGCTCAGACCACTCAAGCACATTTACAGAAACATGGTATTTGGAGCCTTCCGTTGTCAGGCGGTTCCACATTCATGGTGACAGCAGGGGACAGCACGTGTTGTATGTCATGCTGCTGTGAGATCGGGCTGTACCCAATGAGCATATGTGGCCCTGTTACAGTGACCTCTTGTCCTCCTGCCTGCAGCCCAGCGGTCCGCCCACGAGCTGCCCATGGTGGAAAGGCAGGACATTGACAGCTGCCTGGTCTACGGGGGCCAGCAGATGATCCTCACGGGACAGAACTTCACGGCCGAGTCCAAAGTCGTGTTCACCGAGAAGACCACAGGTCAGTGGCTTTCTGTGATCTTTGTCCTCTGGAGCCATGCAAGAGTGGCCATCTCTTTCCTCTTCCGCAGCGATGTGCAGAGCTCCCCCCACCCCTGCCCTTTCTGCTCACTTCCTGACGGGTCACGAGGGCACCGCTCACCAGTGCGTGGCTGTGCTGTGGTGTTTTATTGCATCGAGAAGCGAACTTTTAAAAGCGTTTCTCTGTTATGAAGGAGAGAAGCTGAACAGCGAGGTGACTGAGCCTGTGTGCTCACTGGGTTCAAATCCTAGTTGTGCTTCTTGTGGGTTCTGTGATCTTAATAAGCAGACTGCCTTTCTGTACCTCACTTTCCTCATGTGTAGAACAACAGCAAAGGCGCTTACCTTACAGTTGTCATGAAGCTTAAATGAGTTACATATGTGGAGAAATGGTGACAGCACCAAGGATACGAGTAGCCATTGAGCAGTGTCTCCTTATACTTTATTATAAATAGTATTGTAATTAATATTTTCTTATACTGCTCTGGTTAATTAACACGTGCACAACTGGCCATAATTCGTGCATCTCCCTGTCAGGAGGCTGGTACGGCCAGTGGTATGTGTAGGCCTGTTCCACTGAGCAGCTTTTTATTAATTTTATTAGTATAAAGGCTGATAAAAGTGATTAGATCTAGTTGTGCTATCAGCAGTTTAGGCCACCTGATGGGACAGTCGTGCCTGTTCCACCGGTGGCTCAAGCTGGTGGGAAGGTGCTAATCTTGTGCTCGGATCTCTGGGTGTACCTTTCTGTGTTTGAGATTGACTCCTTGCAGTGGGACTTAGGATAGTCATTTTGAGGGCTTTGAGTTTCCTCGGGGGCTATCCGTGCTGAGTTAAATTCGGCCTCCCAAGGTGACCTCCAGCGTGGGAAGGGAGAGTGGGCGACAGGATGCGAGGTACCTCGTCAGTCCTCAGCACCCAGGGAGCTGTCCCAGCAAGAGGAAGAGCCAGTAGCCTGGTCTATCTGGGTAGACAGGTGTGTGGCACATGAGGAAGTCAGCCAAACAAATGTCACTTGGGCCAAGAAGCCCAAGGTCCCTGACAGGGGCTGTGAATGGTGGGGTCTAAGCAGCGCCAGGCCCCCGTGGCAGAGTGACCTGAAACAGGGTTGGTGGAGGACCTGGAGACAGCCGAGCCACTCAGGCATGACCTGCAGCTGTGTGTTGCTGTTGACACTGCAGGGGAACACCTGTTGTGGGTGACTTGTGCAGGGAGAATGGTCAGCAGCTCCCCACCTTGTCCCCACGAGGTGCCAAAGCATGATGATCAGAAATGTTTTTTGTGTCACCAAGGGTGCCCGGGTGGGAGGGGCAGGGCCCTGCTGGCATGAAAGAAGAGGCATGGGAGAGGCAGAGGGAAGCTCCGCTGGGGGTTACCTTGAAACCTTCCCCTGGATCAGGACACCCACTCCTGCTCTGCTGCCAGAGGTGACCCCGCAACCACGGGGCTCTCTCTGTCGGGTGGTTCCTGTTTAAATAGAAAGGTTTCTGTAAGCATATTTTTAATATTTTTTAACACTAGGGACATTTTTTAGGTGTTTCATTTTTTCTGAAAATCTGATTTTTAACAGATGCTTTGCCTTCTGCGATATGGTCTTCCAGTGTTTTATGTAACCCGTCTCTTTTCTGTGAGGCTGGGGAACACCTGGATTAGTTAGGCAGAGGCCAGAAGAAGAAATCTTCCAGTGCCAGACAGAGCCATGTCTGGGTCTGGTCTGAGGCTGCGTCAGGTAATAGGGAGTCTTGGTGGGTTCTTGAGCAGGAGAGGGGCATGAAATGTAAATGACCAAGCAGATTTATCTCTGCAGCCAGCAGAGGCATTTGTTGTACTGGGAACCCATCCTCCGGGTTTCATTGACTCTGACCAGAGGGACCTGGCTTCAGAGCACCTCATGGGCAGAGGGGAGCGTGCCAAGCAGACACAGGCTTTCCATCACTCACGTTTGGGTTGTCAGAGCCTCTGTGCTGTGGGCCATGTAGGGAAGGACTTGAGCTGGGTCCTTCCACGTTCTTTGTGGAGCTCAGGGTCACCTGAGTACTTGTGTCCTGGGAGCTCAGTGACTTTTCGGCTACATCAGGGTGTAGATGAAATATTTGTTGAATAAATAAGTAGATAGATGGATGGAGGCATGGATGGATGATGGAGGGATGAATGATGGATGGATGATGAACGGCTTCATGGACAATGGATGGATAATGGATGGATGGGTGGATGGCTGATGCATGGAAGATGGATGGGTGGATGATGGATGGAAGGATAGTGGATGGAGGGGTAGTGGATGGATGATGGCTGGATAGATGATGGATGAGGATGGATTGAGGAGGATGGATGGATGATGGAGGGATGAGTGCTGGAGGCGTGAATGGGTGATGACAGGTGATGGGGATGGCAGGCATTTACTCTCCACCTTCCATTCTCTTGTATTTTCCACATCGGAAATGGGGAGGCCAGGCCCCACCCGCGCATGGGACACAGCTGTGTCCTCTGGTTCTGCCTCCTTGGGTCCTAGTCTCATCTCTGGAAGAGGATGGCCACCCCCATCTGGGCCTGCAGGAGCCACATCCATGGCTCACACTGTGTTCATTGCACATTAGGTGTCAGCTCTGTGGTCTCCCAATGTAATCCTGCCCTGGCAGGGGACTTCCTGAGGGCTACACACGTTCTCCAGGTGCAGGCCAGGCAAGTGTTGGGGACCGCAAGGCATAGGGTGACAGGCACAGACTCTGAGGTCAGATGGCCCAGGTTGAACTCCCCATCAGCATTTAGTATCAGTCACTGCACCTCTCTGGGCCAGCACCCTCTCTTTTATCAAATGCAGGTGATTTCCTGCTCCGGATGATGGATGGATGGTGGAGGGATGGATGAATGGATGGATGATGGATGGACAATGGATGGAAGATGGATGGATGGATGATGGATGGACAATGGATGGAAGATGGATGATGGATGATGGAGGGATGGATGATGGATGGACAATGGATGGAAGATGGATGATGGATGATGGATGGGTGGATGATGGATGGACAATGGATGGAGGATAGATGGATGATGGAGGGATGGATGATAGACGCTCTGGGGAGGCGAGGCTCTATCATGAGGTCACCCCGCTAAGGTCTGCACCGAGCATAGCATATTGATAATGCTCAGTATGTGTCAGATTTTATTATTCTTGTTATACTTTGGCTGTGGAAGGACAAACACCAGAAAGAGTATATACCTCATGGAAGAAATAGTGAACGATGGGCCCAGCCCTGCTCTGTGCACCCCATGCATGTTAGCCTTGCTGCACTGACAGGACTCCAAAATAAGCTACTTTTCCCTCCAGTTTTGCTAATGAGACTCTTAAGCAAAGAGAGGGTAAGAAACTTAGTGAATGTCACACAGCTAGTCATGTTAGTGATATTTAGCTCCAGGCAGTCTGGCTCCACAGTCTGCAGCCTTGGCCATTAGCTATTTTTTTTTTTAAGTGTATTTGGTACAGGGTCTACAAGGTGTCACTATGTAGATCAGACGCATAGTGATTCTCTTGTTTTCAGCCTCCGGAGTGCTGGGATTACAGGTGTGTGCCACCATACCCAGCCTCAGTCACTGTCTCAGCAAGTCCCAGGGGCGGGGCTGGCTTGGCACACCGGGGATCTAATGCTAGCTGCTGCACTCTGCCTAAGCAGACGCTGTAGTCCACTGTATCTGGCTGGCCCACCATTAACTATTCTGCTCTGGGAAAATTTGGAGCGAGGCTTGGGTGCCTGAAGCCCCTTCAGCTTTCCTGAGCCCCAGCTCAGAACCCTTTCGGGGTGCTGGCGAACCTCCCTGGAATTGGGCCACACATCGAAAGTGGAGGGAGGGCCCTGTTTGCCTGAGGGTCCCACGAGAGTGCTGTTCCTGGGTTGATCGCAGAGACTAGGAGAAAAAACCTGGGTATGACCAGCAATGGGGGGGGGGTTCCCTGTGTGGGGTGTCTGGTGCCCTGCAGCACTGATGGAGAGGGGCCCCCTTGAACTTGCAGGATGCTGGGCTGCCTTTTTGACCCCAGGAGCTCCAGCCCCAGCCGGACCCCCCCTTCAGGGGGAATCCCTGTTGCTCAACTTCTTTTTTCCAAAACTCATCCCAGTACCCATCTCCATGGACACCTTGGCTGGCTGGGGCCTTGTGGGCGGGTGGAACAGCTGGAGTTTTCCAAGGAAGGGGAATCCCAGCTGCTGGTCTCATTAAGAAAAGGTGACAGCCTCCCAGGCTAATCTTAGCCTGGGTTTGGTCATCAGCACCACCAGCTCCAGTGTTCTTTTTATAGCCTTCAGCTAAAACGGGATCGGCACTTTCCACTCCAGCAAGAGGGCAAGCTGGGGAAGGTGGAAAAACAGAAGAGAGGGGCGGCGTGGTGCTGCTGAAGTTAGAAAAGCTTGGTGTTTTGGAAAGTGGCATCTTATTTATAGCAGCAATAATAATAACGATTTTTATATTATTTTTATTCCTATTTTTAGTTATTTTTATGACTTCAAAGAACTTCTGCGGTGTTCTTGCCTCTCTCGCTCCTGCCTCTGGGTTCTTTGCATCTCCCCGGCATCTGCAGTGATACCTGTCCTTGCAGCCCACTCTCGCTTCTGCCGCAGGACCTTGGCTGTTGCCCGTTGCTCAGAATGCTCCTCCGCCGTTTCTCTACAAGCATGCCTCCTTCCAGCCCCTGCTAAGCTTGGCTCAGAGGTCGCTCTCTGGCTCAGAGGGGCCTCCTTGACCACTCAGCAGGACTGGACAGATCTCCTTGACCAGACAGATACAGTGGACTAAAGCGCCTGCTTAGGCAGAGTGCAGCAGCTAGGGTTCAATCCCTGGTGTGCCAAGCTGGCCTCACCCCTGGGGCTTGCTGTTCTCAGGTTGTTCAACCTCCCCGCAGCCCTGTCGCCTCCTGTGTGTCACCTTGCTTGGGGTTTCCTTGGTGGCTTTAGCATCAGCTCCATGGCGGTCTCCTCTGGGTGTGGACTC